TCCCAGTATTGAACCCAGACTATGTGAGTCCAAAGTCTGGGGAGTAGGGTGGGCTACAAAAGTCATTATTAAAGTCCATTAAATCCATCAAAATGGATTTTTATAATGCTCTGTCATGGTGACTAGGTGGCAAAGTTAGTACAACAACGGGACTAGAATGAGGAAGAACTGAGCTCAAATCCAGCCTCAGATACCAACTACTTCCACTAGTACCTATGTGACCCTGGACAAGTCACCTCACCCCTCTGTCTGCCTCAGTCTCCTCTAATGTCAAATTGGAATAAAATTAGCACCTACCTCCAGGGTTGCTGTGAAGATCAAATGAGATAATATTTGTAAAGTTGTGCTAAGGCACAATGCCTGAAACGTAGAAGGCACTTAATAAATGCTTGTTTCTTTCCCTTTCCCCCTTCGTCATAATGTGGAGTTGATCATGTTTTATCAGTATCATCACCATCCTCATAATTATTAGATGCTCACAACAACATTAAGAGATGAGGAAATTGAAGATGAGAGAGGTTACATGATTTGCCCAGGGTCTCATAGCTAGTAGATATTTGAGGCAGGATTTGAACTCAGATCTTCCTGACTCCAGGTCTAGTACTCTATCCATTGTGCCACCTAGTGTCCACAACCTAGGCTTTGAGAATGGGAAGTGATGGATCATGTTGTCCAAAAGCCGGTCTAGTTAAGTGCAGAAACATCTGTCAACAAAGAGGTAACCACCAGATAATGAGGTGGGTTTTTTTTGGGGGGGGTCAGGGGTAGGCTTATTAAAAATTGGCTTCAAAAGGATGGAGGAGTCATAATCTGCACCTGTAGAAAGAACAATTAGTTTGATAACACCTATCCTTTTGATGCTGAACAGACACATCCTAATATCCTGGGGATCAGTATTACTGACACAAATTTTCTAGCCCTTAGCAGTTGTCCATTTTCCCATTTAAAACATATGAAAATGGAACTATTCTCTGAAAGGTATTGAGATTCACAATTCAATTCAGATAATTTCAACAAACATTTGTTGAGTCTTTTATCATTATTTATAATACAGAAACAAATTAGAGATAAACCAAGGAAGTCTACTGTTGCTATTGTGTTATATAGTTCTAAAAATATTGCCTATAGACATAAAATATGAAATTGTAGGTATTCCCATGCAGCACAAAGAAGACACGCAAATCTCTCTCCATGCAGATATGTGGATTTGCTGAGATTACAATTACAATTACCATTAATAAGAAAAATTAACTGAAACAGTTGATAACTTCAGTTAAACAGGACATGAAATAAACCTATATAAATCATCAGCCTTTCCTTATGTAACTAACAAAACCTTGCCATGTAAGACAGAAAATAATTTCCCTCCTAGTTAATAGTAAAATGTACTTTTAAAAATGGGAGGGGGAAGGTAGGGTGTCAGTCTATGAAGACACACATAGGACACATGAATAAACTACAAAACATTCTTGGCAGCAATAAAGGGCTTAAATAATTGGAGACCTTTTCATTGGTCAGAGGCAACATGGCCCAGTACATAGAGAAGTAGTAAGGCTTGAGTTCAGATACTGCCTGTGATGCCTACTAGATCTGTTAACCTGGTAAGATGCTTAATCTTTTTTTGCTTTAGGTAATTCCCTATGACTCTAAGTAGTAGGGGAGAAGTCAACCTGCTTTGGTAGAGAAACCATTGAAATCATAATTGAAAGCCTTACCCCACCCCTATTAATTGTTTATGATTCAGTGATGCCAGTGTAATAAAATTACAATGCTCTCTAAAATTAGTTTACAGATTGAGTGCTATACCATCAAACTATGGAGAGGCTATTTTGTAGAACTAAAAACATACAATGACTCCCTATTCAACAAAAATTGTTTGGAAATTTAGAAAATTTTGGCAGAAATTAGTTTTAGACTAACTTCGTATATTATACACCACATTAATTGCCAAATGAATCCGCAACCTAAAAATAAAAAGGTATATCAAAAAGATATTTAGGAGAGAATGGAAGGAGGTACCTCGTTCAAATGACTAGGAAAAGAATTAACTAAACAAGTGTCAGAGGTAATCATAAAAGATAAAAGAGATGATTTTGATTAGATAAAATTTAAAAGCTTTTGCATGCAACAAAATTAGTGTAGCTAAAATTAGAAGAGAAGCAGTTGACTAGGAACAATTTTCTCAGCAAGTATCTTTGATAAAGGTTTGATATACAAGATGTGTAGGGAATTGCTACAAAATATAAGAACAAGAGTCAATCAATCAATAAATGGTTAAAGAATATGAACAGGAAATTTTCAAAAGAAATGTAAGCTATCAAGAATCATAGGAATGAATTCTCCAATTTACTAATTCAAAAAATGCAAATTAAGACAACTCTAAGGTTTCGCCTCATACTCATAAGTTTGGCAAGGATGAATTAAAAAAAAAACTGAAACCCCAAGGAGGTAAAATAAAGATGGAAAGTTTCCATATACACAAAAAATACTTATAACAATCCTCTCATAGTAGCAAGGAACTGGAAGTAAAGTGGGCGCCCTTTGATTAGAGAATGGCTGGATAAATTTAGGTAGAACAATGGAATGACATAATGTAGGAAAGGAAGAAATTGAAGAATTCAGAAAGATTTGGTAAGATGTGTATGAATTCACACAGAGTGAAGTAGGTGGAACTAGAAGAACAATTTACATATTGACCATGATAATGTAGGCGCAGCTAGGTGGTGCATTGGATAGAGTACCAGGCTTGTAATCAGAAAGAGTCCTTTTCCTGCATTCAAATATGGCCTTAGACACTTACTAGCTATGTGACCCTGCGCAGGTCAGTTAACTTTGTTTGCCTCAGTTTCCTCATCTGTAAAATGAGTTGGAGAAGGAAATAGCAAACCACTCCAGGATCATTGCCAAGGCAATCCAAAATGGGGTCAGAAAGAATCATATACAACTGAAAACAACTAAACAACTATGGGCAGTGGTCCTTTTTTAGTGGAGCAGAGGCGGTGACTCCCCAGGGGAAGTCAAACTGATATAAAAAACATCAATAAAATATCTAAAATGAAAAAAGGGCTTAAAAAGCCTTTTAGATAGTGAAAGAGATTAAGTGTGTACCCATAAGTATTCATCAAAAAAAACGTGAAAAGGGGCAGCTAGGTGGTGCAGTGGATAGAGATCAGGCCTTGGAGTCAGGAGGAACTGAGTTCAAATGCGGCCTCAGATAGTGACACTTACTAGCTGTGTTACCTTAACCCCAACTGCGCCTCACCAAAAAGCAAAAAAAAAAAAAAGGAATGTGAAACATGAGAGGGACATGAATCAAGCCTCTCAACATTAAAAAGGCAATACGGTGTATTACAAAGGGCTCTGGAATCAGAGGACCAGGGTTCAAATTCTACCTGTTCTTACTACCTATGTGACCTCGGGCAAGTCAATTAACCACCCTAGGCCTCAGTTTCCTTATTATAAAGTGAGAGGGTTGGATTAAATGACATCTGTGGTATCTAGTTCTTGATCTATGACACTGAAGTCTTGAATATCAACTTGGCAACTTTGTGGATGACAGATTAGAGGCAGCAGATACTGCAGGTGACATGCATGCATACATACACACACACACACACACACACACACACAATGCAAATCCAAATTGTGAAGTAGCATCCTTTGCATTATGACCTCCTTGATTTAGGTACAGTCATTTGTGCCTGTCAGTAAGAGAAAATGTGTTTGAATTTCCATCTTGAATTTCTCAACAAGAGCCTGGATATTTTCCAATAATGACATTTGTAGTCAGACATATGGGCACATAAGCTAACACACAAGCATCCTTTACAGCACAGTTGCAGAATACTAATGTGCTAATTGTTTTTTCTGGTTTGTGGATTTTAGCACCTATTCAGTCCGGCATCTGAGCTGAATCTGGAACTCAACGAGCCATGTCACATCTCAGTGCATGGGGGTAACCCTTCCCCTCATCCCTCGACTAAACTCCTCATCTCTGTCAGAATCTTGATTTTCTTTCAAGAAAAGCAGGTGCCATTGGCTCCATAAAGCTGCCTTCGATCCTTCCAGCTGAAAGTGATCTCACTTTACCCAAATATTTCTCTAATATTTTGGATCTCTTTTTCATCCCTATCATATTCTATTCATATATATTTCATATTTTCCAAGATGGATTAAAAATTTCATGAGAGCAATGACTGTAATTTTTCCTCAGTATTCCCAGCACCAAGGACAGTGCCTGGTTCATAACAGAGATTTTAATAACTTGTTTTGTCTGTAGCCACAACTCACACACACACTGTCTCTCCACACATGCACACACACACACACACACACACACGCCAAAATAGTTACAGCTTACAGATAACTGCTAGTCTATTCACCAGGGGTTAACTGGATTTGCACTAAGTGAATATTTATTTTACTGTGCAAAATACTTTCTAAAGAAGAACTGATAACATTTTCCACGGGATGACAAATTTGTTCCCCATTTCACCCTCAACTCATGTGCCAGGTTGATAAAGTTTCCTTTTAAAAAGATAGTTGAAATAATGTATAGAAAGCAAATCTAAAAGCACTATATAAATGTTATACAAAATAACAGTGATCATTATTATATGAAAGTGCCTTGAGAACCAACATGGTGTCGTGTATAGAGAACTCACCTTAAAGTAAAGATAGTCTAAATCGAGTTCTGCTTCTGACACACATTGACTATGTGATTCTGGGCAAGTCTCTTCAGCTCTTGATGTTCTAGGAAACTCTCTAGGTGAGGTACTGATCTGTATCAGATGGAGGGTACTCTTCTCTGTCCCCCCACCCCTTCCTCTGCCCCCACTGAGGACATCACAGGTGTCAAACAACAACAGCAACTTGTATACAGTTGGTGCTTAATATAGTTTGTTGAATTGAACTGTGTGTCATTTTATGTGTAAGTGCACTATATCATTTTCTACCCTAACCAAAAGAAAGATTCTTTCCTTGACTCCACTCTCACTTACATTTCCATCATGGTTTGGGCAAGAAAGAGGTTTTCCTGCAGCCACAGCGGTGACTGTCTCCAGGATGGAAGACTCCTCAGTATTACTGCCTGGTGTTCGCTGCAGCACGTCCATTAGGTTTGTGATGAAGAAGTTGTTTTGGAGTGCTGAAACCCCTTTCTCTGGCAAGATGGAGGTCTGGCGGCACACGGGGCAAGACAGTGTTAAACTGTGTGCGGGGATGTAGTTCTGCAAACACCTATTAGAGAAAAAAATAGCGACAAGGGAAAGCCAGCATAATATGAACCTAAGTGAACTATGGTTATATATAATACACGCACACACATATAAACATATACACATTTTATATATATATATATATATATATATATATATATACATACATCTTTTTAAAAATACTTTATAGATACTTTTTATAATTAACTTTGCTATATTAATAATAAGAAAGGGAAGAAGGGAGAAGGGAATAAGCATTTTTCTAATAGCCCTTAGTCACTGAATGGGCATTGTCTTAGGCAAACTGAAGCCCTGGGAAAGACCTTAATTTGGAAAGGCCAAGGTCATCCATTGTATTCTGAGCCATCATTGCCAGTTGTCTTGACTTTTGTCTTGCCACTGGACTTTTATGACCAGAGGAGAGACTTATGCAGCTCTGCCTCACTTAAATCCAATCATGTGCAAGTCAAGACATCATCCTTGTGATGTCATTGGTCCTCTTTGTGAAAGAGTGAAGAACAACAATTGTATGTCAGGCACTGTACTAAGTGCTTTTACAAATATTATTTCATCTGACTGTCAAAACAACCCTGGGAGGTAGGTGCTACTATTATTATCCCCAGTTTACAGATGAGGAAACAGAGACAAGTGACTTGCTCAGGGTCACAACAGCTAGTAAGTGTCTGAAGCCAAATTTGAACTCTGGTCTTCCTGATTCCAGGTCTACCACTTTCTCTACTACGCCACCAGCTACTTCCAATAGCAGCTCACAATTACATAGCACTTGAATATTTGCAAAGGAATATACACACATATGTGTGTGTGTGTATACACACACACACATATTTCTCTCTCTCCCTACATATACATGTATAGGTGTGTTGTGAAGGTCAAATGAGATGCGTGCGCGTGCGCGCACACACACACACACACACACACACACACACACACACACACACCCCTCATTTGATCTTTCACCACAAATTTATGAGGGAGGTACTATTGATAACAGCAGTAATGATAACACTTTTATTGATTTACAAAAAGCAGCTATTTCATCTAGCACTTACCTTACTAGGTAATATTTACAAACAGCACTTAGCACAGTGTCTGGCACGTAGCAGATGTTACACACATGTTTATTCTCTTCCCTTTCCTTTATCTACATATGCAGTAGTCCATATAAATATAAAAGAATAATAGGAAGAGAGGGGTCCTGGGACCATTTCTGCTTAAACCTTGTCAAAAAAAAAGTCAATTGGCAAAGAACTTGATGAACATGATCTCATCTGAGCCTCACAACGATCATGTGAGACATGTATTATAGGTATTATCATTCCCACCCTTACAGATCGGAAAACTCAGGTTTCAATGGGTGAAATGACTTGCTCACAAATACACAGGTAATGATTGTCAGAGACATGATTTGAATACGGCTCATTCTGACTGCAAGACCAGCACTTGGTCCATTACCTAACGCTGACTCATCAGTTCTATAAACTAAAGAGATTTCTATTTGAGTTGAGAAGCAGCGGGCAAAAGCTGGTATAATGCTGGACTTGGCCGTATAGCCCACAGGCTAGAATTCTAACTCACTCACTAACTAGCTGTACAATCATGGGCAAGTCATAACATCTCTGAGCCTCAGCTTTGTCACACACATCATGAGGATGATCATATGTGCCCTACCTACCTGTGATGAAACAATGGTTAAGTACCACATAAGTTAGAGTTTTTAGCAGCACTTTGGTTGATCAGGCAAAAGAGGACAATCTTCAACGGCAAGAAGTATGTTAACTACATTGTCCCCCAAGTAGAATGTCAACTCCTTGATGGCAAAGACTGTTTTCATTTTATTGTTTTGTATCTCCAACATACAGGACTACACTTGGTACACCTAATAAGTGCTTGTTGCCTTCTTTTACATCCCTCCACAGTGCCTAACACATTGCTTCATACAAAGTAGACATGAGGGGAGAATAAGGCAATAGGCTAGTTGGTCAGTAGCTGGACAATATAATTTATGGTTTAAGAGGAGGATTGGTTCTTTTTCCCATATATCACCAACACAACCTTCTACAAGTGATATGAGTAAGATTAAGCCCAAGTTCCACTTCAAAGTATAGCTGTGAACTAGAGATGAGAAACAGAAAAGATGGCTGCCTAGGCAGCAACTGCCCCCCTACTCTGAATTCTTTTTTTTTTTTGCTGAGGCAATTGGAGTTAAGTGACTTGCCCAGAGTCACACAGCTAGTGAGTGTTTTGTGTCTGAGTCTAGATTTGAACTCAGGTCCTCCTGACTCCAAGGCTGGATCTCTATCTACTGTACCACCTAGCTGCCCCCTACTCTGAATTCTTTACAGAACATAATGTCCCTCCCAAACAAGTAAAGCCATGACTTTTAAACTTTTAAATAAATAAAATTGTGGTCAATTTTTAAAATAAATCAGTTTGTTTAAGAAAACAGTTTGCATATAGAAGAAAAAAGGGGGAAAAAAGAAATTTACATGATAACTATTATACATTTAAAAACAATAACAAGTATACAGAATAGATTTGCAGTTTCATGTGCAATCATCTTTTTTCTTATTATACTATGTTATGGAAATATTTGTTTTATTCCACAAATTAAAATTTTGAAAAGAAAGTCAATTCATCAGACATTTATCAAGCACTTCCTAGGCACCAGGCACCGAGGATTCAAAGAGAAAAAATAGCCCCTGCCTTTAATGTGCTTGTATTCTAGGGATTTAAACTTCAAGTTCAATGGTTTACTTAGAGTGGGACTTTCCCAAGCAGCAGAAGCTAAGGCAGGGCACCTACAAATAGAGGAGGCAGAAGCAAGAGCTAAGGATGTCCTGAAGCATCCTGTAACCCAGCTTGGAGACAGCAGAATGCAAACAGCCAAGGAGGGGAGCCGGAGGGAGGCCACATTTGAACACAGGGTTCTGGGGAGTTCTGACACACATCTCAAATACTGGGAGAGTATTTAGATAGCACTTGCAAATTACAAAACTAGCTTTCCACCTGTGCTTTGTGGAAAGGCTGTCTCAGGACAGAGTTTTTCCTCCAGACCCATGTGTAGACATGGAAATGAGTATCGGTGGAGTTGGGGGATCAGTGGGGTACAATGGAGAGAATAGTGGCTTTGAAGGCAGAAAACCTGACTTCAAATCTTAACACAGATTCCTACTAGCTTTGTGACCTTGGGCAAGTCAGTGTCCACTTCTAACAAGTAAGGGGGTTGGAAGAGATGGCCTCCTATTAACCTAACTTCATTGTAAAAGGCTACAAAACAAAGTTATATTTCATAAGACAGTATGGCATTACCACAGACCAGAATAACAATAACAGAAAATTCCCTGACCATCTCTTGGCACTTTAGGCCTTCCAAAATAAACCAATTATCAGAACATTTCACTCAGGCAAAGGCCAATGTAAACTAAATCTTTTGATGGAATGGATAACTTTGACAGGCCTGAATTTACTAAAAACCCATTTCTCTCTCTACAGTGGGAAATAAAACATTTTCAAATTATGTGTATCCAATTACCATAGAAAATGTAGTTTTACTATAGTTAAATAAATTTTTTAAGAGAAAAAACAATCCCACCATACTGGATGAATACCTAACTGCTATCCATGATCAGAAAGAAGGCTTATAAATGTTCACTAATAGAAAAGTTTTGTGTTGCATTAATAATATGGCAAAATATATTTTCTTATTCTTCAGAATAGACAGAGCCATTTCGGGGAATCTTTCCATTTGGAGTGGGCCCTCTCCATTCAGCAGGAGCTTAGGCAGGATACCTACAAAAGAGGTGGATGGAAAGAGCTAGGATGCCCTGAAGCATCCTATAAGGAGATCCGAAAGCAAGCTTCCACATAAATTGCGTATTTAGGGAATTCACAAACAGGTTTTGGTGTTCAAATACACCACACAAAAATAAAATCTCAGCGTACAAGTGCTAAAGACTGAAAAATTATCTTCTGAAGTATCCGCAAGAATAAAGGTCTGCCCTTTTGACCTTGAGCCTTTTACAAATCCATAGATTAGTCTGTGGGGGGAAGCGGCAGGTTTTTGATTAATCCTCACTAAGAACTCCCCACACTGCAACAGTGGTTAGCAAAAGCAGTTTCAAAGAGAACAAAGAGAAAAGTGGAATAAAAGTTTTCAAAGATGACTAGAATGATAAGCATCTCACTGCCCCCTCCTTGTCAAAATAAATTGGTGAATGTTTGGTTTGGTGTTTCTTAATTGCAGTTGTTTGAATAAAGCAAATAATTTGGCAACTTATGATTATGTGACTAGATGTCTTAACAAGAGAACAAAAGACTCATTGTCTCGTGGGGTAACTGTAGAATTCTGGGAAAGCACATGGCTGCTGTAGGTTGAGAAAGGACACTCTGGCAGCTGCCTCCATTACCACACAGCCAGGATGCTTGCTTACCTCTCACAGAAAGTGTGCAGACAGGGAAGTACCTTGGGGTTCTTGTAACGTTCCAGGCATATGCTGCAAATCAGAAACTGCTTGTCAATCTGCCGCACCACAGGACTGGGGATGTTAGAGCCTTCACTGGCCATCCTAGACCATTGGCATACGGGTCCTGATTCCTTTTACCCTGCACGATGCTGCTAACACAGATGAAAACCAAGAGAGACAAAGAAAAGCATTTTTTAAGTCACTTGGAAGCATCAGAGCCATGCTCCTCTTAGACATATATTCATCTGGGTCAATCTTAATTGTTCAGGGTGGATTGTGGAATTGTGGTTCTCCAGTTGGAAGAGACTTTAGAGGTCTTCAAGTCTAACCCTCTCGTTTTACAGATCAGGAACTGAAGCCCAGAGAGGTGCCTTGTCCAAAGTCACAAGAATTTGAATCCATACCCTTTGATTGCAATTTTACTACTTTTTCTACTGTTACCATCTGCCAAAAGAAAGAATGAAAAAAAGCATTTATTAAGTCCTTACTATGTACGAGGCATCGTGCTAAGTGCTTTACAAACACTGTTTCATTTGATCCTCTCAACAACCACTGGAAGTAGGTATTATTATTATTATCTCCATTTTACAGATAGAGATACTGAGTTAGAGAGGGTATTGCCCAAGGTCACACTGCTAGTAAGTATGTGAGGATGGATTTGAACTCTGGTCTTCCCAACTCTAGGATTAGTGTTCTATCCACTGCACCATCTACTTGCCAAAAAGATTTATCACTTGGTGGCCAAGCTCCTGGTGATGAGTCATTTTGGACATAACGGTTACTGATACCAGTAGAATCTTATTAAGGAGACTGGTGAGACATCAGAATTGCTAAACTGTATCCAGACCTCATAAAACAGGAAGCCTGTTGCTGCAGGGCACAGAGAGGGTGCACTCTGTTGTTGGTTATTTTATTTGTTTTCAAAATAATTTGATTTTACGAAGCTCTCTTAAACACTTAAAAACATTATCTTTCCCTACCTTCCATTCCCTCATGCTTGGCTCATATTATGAACCTGGTAAATGTTTGTGGAATTGAATGGGAAAATGTTGTCCATATGTCATCTTTTAAATAATTGCATATTACTGTTTTGTGGGGGCATCTGAGAATGTGTGTATATCTTCTGCAGTAATTCAGTTCAATAACAGGATTGAGAGCTGGAAGAGACCTTCCAAGTTCTCCCCCCTCTCCCTTAGTCTCTACTTCCAAACATTTTCTCTCTTTCAAATCAGCCCCCAAGAAAAGATCTCAAATTCATTTATAGCAGTGTTTAAATGACAGATGATAGTTTGAAATGTTACTTCTTGCAAGGGCAATTTGCATTTTAAATGAGGATCAAAGCCTAAAGCTGTGAGAATGAAGTTCCTACAGTGGACATCAGGTCGAATTGTACATTATACTGTATGTGGTGGGGGCCAGGGCAGGAGAGGGGGGGTGTAGGGGCCCTGAATCTTATTGCCCCTGAAATCTTATCAATTTTTTAAACACAACAACTCAGGTAATCTCAACCCCTAAAGTAAAGAGGAAGTAGGAGCTGGGGAAACAAGTGATAGCCAGTCAATACACATTTATTAAGCACTTACTATGTGCCAGGCACTGTGCTAAGGAGATACAAAGAAAGGGGTGTGCAGAGAATGAGAAGGGTAGAATCTATACCTATAAAATCCTGCTGATTTCAAATGAAAGAAAACTGACTCTAGGGTTTGAACACCTCGGTTCAAAACTCACTTCAGATAATTATTATCCCTGTTACTTTCACTCAACCTCTTTGGGACTCATTCTCCTCATCTGGAAAATGAGAAGACTGGATTAAATGGTCTAAATCGAAAATCCTTTGATGCTATGAATTCACTCCAAGACAACAAGGGGAGGGAGGCCAGAGAGCTTAATTAGTGTCGATCCTTAAGGAAAAGGTCCGGGCATCAAGATATAGAAATGACTACATCCAAAGAACTTTGAAATAGTGTTCTTTCTTAATTTTACACCTTTTCCCTTACACAAGACCCCAGATTTTTGTACCATTATTCTTTCCATGATGGTATCTAGCTATTCATCATGTAAAATACCATAGTCTTTGAGAGTGCAGAGACTGTTTTGTTTTTATTTTTGTCCCTCATGTCTATCAATAATGCCTTGTAATTAATAGGTGCCTGATAAATGTCTATTCAATTGAAATCTGCCTCTGAAACTTCCAATGGCTAGTTCTGACCTATGGACATATACAAAAGAAGTCTAATTCCTCTTCCATAAGATACCCTTTCAAATAGCTGGTGACAGCTATGATGTCTCTGAGTCTTCATTTCCCCAAATTAAGCAACCTCAATTCCTTCAACTGACTGTATATGTAATTGTTTCAAGTTCCCTCATCATTCTTTAGGCTTGAAGGTTTTCAATGCTCTTCCTAAAGTATGGCATCTTGAATGTCACACCAGGCCACTGATAAAGTCTGACCAAAGCACAATGATTAAATGAACCTCTATTAAAGATCTCCCTTCAGATTCACATCTATTCATCAAATCCTCACTCTCTAGATCTGGGCCAAACTCACAAAATGTATGGTCATCTAGTGCACATATCTCTATCTTGTCCCCAAGGGTATCATCATTCTTCTCTGTAAGATCTCAACTCTGTCAATGTCCTTCAGAAAAATATGGTGCTGAGAAGAGAACACAATACTCCAGATGTGATTTGAACAAGGAAAAGTTCAGCAGTCCCCTGTTATGGATACAGTGCTTCTAATAATATAGCATAAGATTGCATTAACTTTTTTTTTTGCTGTCAGATTATACTTTTAACTCATAATGATTGTGCAAGTCCTGAAAACAAACATGAATTGTTTATTGTCTGCCATATTTCCCCCATTTGGAACTTGTACGTTTGGTTTTTTTGAACAAGTAAAGCATTTTGCATTTGACCCTATTAAATTTCATCTCATTAAATTTGATTCAAAGTTTCTGCTTATTAAGATTTTTTTTTGAATCTGGTTTCTATCATTTAGTGTATCCCTCCCAACTTTATGCCATCCATGAATGTAAATTCTATTAAATCTATACTTTTGCTCAAAATAAGCAAATCTACACCTTTGCTCAAGTCATCACTAACAGCAGAGTAAATAAAAGAGAGATGTAGCCCTTTATTAAAGACCTATTTCCTGGTGAATAGCCATTCCATTCATCACTGTTTGGATTTGTTCAAGCCTTCAACCAGTTCCAAATCCACTTAATTGTGCTAGCATCAAACCCTCAACTCTGTATCTTGTCCAAAAGGAATCATGAATGTCAAATGTCTCAGTGAAATCCAGGGGGACTATGTCCCTGACATTCCCTTGATCAACTGGTTTCATAAGCCTGTCAAATAGGCACAAATGGTTTGACACCCACAATTGTGTAATGGAAAGAGAATGGGATTTGGAGTCTGAAGACCTGGTTCAGGTCCTGCTTCTGCAACCTATTAACTATATGTGTCCATGGGAAAGTAAAAACCAATCTAGACTTCAGTTTCATTTATAAAAAGATCGGATTAGACTTGATCTCCAAGGTCTAATTTAGTTCTCAACATTCCGTAATTCTAAGGTTGTATGACTTGTTTTAATAAACTCATTAGTGATCATCACTCTCCTTTTCAAAAGCTTATGAACTATTTCTTTAAATTTTTTTTTTGTTTTTAACGTCACTTTAATATACTCCTTCCTGGTCAGTGAGCCTTCCCTTGTAACAGATTTTTTTTCCAAGTTCAGTGAAACCAGACAACATATCATCCATATTTTAGAGCATGTGAAACATTTCACACTATAGACCCCTCTCCACCTCTTTAACAAAAGGAGGGAGGTACATTTACTTATCTTCTTTTTTTTTTCCCTCCAAACCTGGTCATCATATTTTCACAAAGTGTTCATTCTCTCCTTTCTCATGTCTCTCATCTCTATCTCTCTATTTCTCTGTGTGTCTCTCCCCATCCCTCTCCCCTTTTTCATTGTCACAGTAATTGTATATATTATTACCTCCCTATTTACTTCACTCTGCAACATTTCACATATATCTTCCCAACAAACTATGTTTTTTAATGCTTCCAAGAATTCTTCAGGGAATTGAAGTCAAATTCACTGACCCATAATTTGCAAATTCTGCCTTCTTCCTCTTTTTGAACCCTGGGACATTTGCTCGTTTTGGTCTTGTGGCATCTTTCCTGTCCTTCACTATTTTTCAAACGAGTCTCATTTCCTTTTTTTAAAATTAATTTATTTTGATTTCCAACAAAGAAGTATACAGTAGAACATGGTAAGAATCACTAGATACAAAAGCCTCCTTCTTTTCAAAGTAAAAATGTCACTAAGCATTAAATTAAGCAAATGAATGTGTAGCCATCTCCACCCAATGTGGTTTGTAGTGGAGATACACTTGTGCTAGGAGTAAGGTGACACAAATTTCACTCCTAGGTCTGCCAGAAACTAGCTGTGTGACCTGTAGTAAATCAGTCCACCTCTCTGGGCCCCAGTTCCTCACCTGTAACATGAGAGAGGTCAGATGAGATGGTATCTAAGCTTTTGTCCAGCCCTAATATTTGATGAGTCAAGGGTTGGATGCTACCACTATTTTCAGGATTCAATGAATTTTAAAAATAGGCATTAAGTACATGACACCAGGCTGGTCTCCTTACTCTCTAGGTTTTTGAAATCTCAGATTCTCTTTCCTTTCAAATTGTCAGCAAAAATAAGAGATGGTCAGGAAAATAAAATAGAATGGTAAGTAACGCTGCTCTGCCAGAGATTCAGAAAGAGCAAAACTGCAGTTGATGGAGGAGGCAAGTTAAAACCCTGGGTGTGACAAGCTTTGTCTTTGTTATATTCTCATAGGAAACTTGACACCGGTAGGACCTGTATAAGGTCAGTAGGAAGGAAAACTGAAGGGATCAATGAAACAGCACTTCCTCTCTACCTACCACCCAAAAAAAGGAAAGATAAATATTATGGTAAATATTTAACATCAGGCTGATACTAGATTAGACTAATGTCTAATATACCAATTATGCAAGGTTAAGATCATATATCACATGTAGAAGAGAGATTAATGTTCATTGTCAATGGAAAACAAATATAGCATTATTACAGTATAGTACCCTAATTGCTGGATTGCTATACACATAGATAGAGCTG